AAAAAAAAAAAAAAAAAAAAAAAACTAGCCAGGCATTGTGGCAGGCACCTGTAGTCCCAGCAACTCAGGAGGCTGAAACAAGAGGATTGCTTAAGCCCAAGAGTTTGAAGTTGCTGTGAGCTGTGATGCCATGACATTTAACCTCAGGGTGACTGAATGAGACTCTGTTTCAAAAAAAAAGGCTCGGTGCCTGTAGCACAGTGGATACTGTGACAGCCACATACACCAAGAGTGACAGGTTCGAACCTGGCCTGGGTCAGCTAAACAATAATGACAACTGCAACAAAAAGTAGCCGGGCATTGTGGTAGGCACCTGTAGTCCCAGCTACTTGGGAGGCTGAGGCAAGAGAATCACTTAAACCCAAGAATTTGAGGTTGCAGTGAGCTGTGATACCATGGCACTATACCCAGGGTAGCATAGTAAGATCTGTCTCAAAAAAAAAAAAAAAAGTTAAGAGTATAAACCTACATTTGAGATGGTATTATGGACCAGGCTCAGTAACTTACCCCTACAATCCTAGTACTCTGAGAGGCTGATGCAGGTGGATTTTTTGTGGTCAGAAGTTCAAGACCAGCCTGAACAAGAGTGAGACCCTATCTTCTAAAAACAGAAAAATGAGTCAGGTGTGCTGTGTGCCTGAGACAGGAGGAGCTCTTGAGCCCTAGAATTTGAGTTCACAATGAGCTAAGATGACACCACTGAACTCTATCCCCGGCAATAGAGTGAGACAGTGTCTTAAAAAAAAAAAAAAGAGAGAGAGAGAAGGTTTTCTAGAAAATGTAGTAAAAAAAGAAAAAAATTCCATTGACATTTCATTATTTGTAATCTTAAATAGGATAGACTTTGCTATAATTGTTCTGGTATTTTATAATACTGAGGCATAATGAAAGTACTTACATTTAAAAAGTACATGTAGGGGCTTGGCGCCTGTGGCTCAAGTGGCTAAGGTGCCAGCCACATACACCTAAGGTGGCAGGTTCGAATCCAACCCAGGCCCGCCAAAAACAACAATGACGGCTGCAACCCAAAAATAGCCAGGCATTGTGGCAGGCACCTGTGGTCCCAGCTACTTGGGAGGCTGAGGCAGGAGACTCGCTTGAGCCTAGGAGTTGGAGGTTGCTGTGAGCTGTGATGCCACGGCACTCCACCCAGTGGGATAGTTTGAGGCTCTGTCTAAAAAAAAAAAGTACAGGCTCAGTGCCTGTGGCTCAAGCTGCTAGGGCACCAGCCACATACACCGGAGCTAGTGGGTTCGAATCCAGCCTGGGCTTGCCAAACAACAATGACAACTATAACAAAAAAAAATAGCTGGGTGTTGTGGCAGCTACTTGGGAGGCTGGGGCAAGAGAATTGCTTAAACCCAAGAGTTTGAGGTTGCTGTGAGCTGTGACGCCATGGAACTCTACCAAGGGTGGCATAGTGAGACTCTGTCTCAAAAAAACAAATAGTACATGTAAATTATTTATTTTTATTATTTATTTTTTTGAGACAGAGTCTTACTTTGTTGCCCTTGATAGAGTGCCATGGCATCATAGCTCACAGCAACCTCAAACTCTGGGCTTAAGCAATCCTCTTGCCTCAGCCTCAGCCTCTCAAGTAGCTGGAACTATTGGCACCCGCCACAATACCCGGCTCAGGCAATCCACCCGCCTTGGCCTCCCAGAGTCAGGATTATAGGCATTAGCTACTGCCTATGCTGTCCTTTAAATATATTCATTTCCTCTATCAACTTGTTCCTGGTCTTTCAGTAAAAGAGAAAAAAGCAACAATCACTTATATTTATGAAATAAGAGTGTGACTTTCCTGAAAGACAAAATTAAATGTAGATGTGTGTGCTTTTTTCCCCCATTCTCTTCACGTAATGCAATTTTGTTACATGAACCCAAATATCTGACTAACTATGGAATATATAATCATTACTCATAGGCATCTTTTGAACCAAAGGAAAAAAATACATGGAAGCCAAACCCAAATACCTATTTTCAAGGAAAGCACAGCAAGTAAACCCACTACCTAGCCATTTGATTTTATAATTTCTCTGTGGTACTTATCCCCTTGTACTCATATACACAAGCATTTTTTTATGTCTCCACTTACCCGTCATAAGAAACCCAAGCACCTTCAGGGCGGCAGTGGCTCTTTTTTTTATTCTACACTATGAGAGGCTAGCTCTAACTAGAAAAGCCTTTGTACTTCTCTAGTTGACTTTTTTTTTCTTTGAAGATAGAGTCTCAAGCTGTCACCCTAGGTAGAGTGCCATGGCATCATAGCTCACAGCAACCTCCAACTCTTGGGCTCAAGCAGTCTTCTTGCCTCAGTTTTTTTCTTTCTATTTTTAGTAGAGATGGGGTCTTGCTTTTGCTCCGGCTGGTCTGGAATTCGTGAGCTCAAGCTATCCACCCACCTCGGCCTCCCAGAGCACTAGGATTATAGGTGTGAGCCATTGCTCCCGGCCCCTAGTTGACATTTTGTCTGGCTTGAGATTACTGGACTTGGATTTGGTTTTGTTCTTCTGTTAGTTTCCCTCCTTTCTTCAGATTGTGAGTCAAGAAAGAGAAACAACTATTTTCCAGGGTGTCTGTGGCTCAAATAGGACAGTTTCCTCCCCTCTCTTCAGTATATTCAGTCAGTATTACTGATCGTATTTCCCTAACTCTACTGATCCTTTTCTGTAGTGTCAACAAAAATAGCAAGGTTTGTTCTTCTTTATTTAGATAAAATATAATTTTGTCTGTTTATCTGTGTTTATATTGTTTTATACCAAATTCCTGACAGATAATGTCCATATCTTTTCTCTAGATTAACTTTGATGTAGTGCCTATCATTTGTACACATGCACTTAATCATCTTTCCCATTGGTTGTTTTATCCTTCAGAATCAGAGAATGCAGAGTGGTCCTGGTTGAAGGTAAAGCCAGAGGCTGTGCCTATCCAGCTCCTTACTTGGATGAATATGGAGAAACAGACCCTGGCCTGAAGTAAGATTTTCTTTTTCTTTTCTTTATTTTTTTTTTTTTGCAGTTTTTGGTGGGGCTGGGTTTGAACCTGCCACCTCCGGCATATGGGGCCAATGCCCTACTCCTTTGAGCCACAGATGCTGCCCAAGATTTTCTTTTAATAGGAAGGTTTCAATCAGTTCTTTTTTATTTTAGTCTATATTATTGAAGATTGTGACCAAAAGTTTTGAAGATATCAACTATCCTAATATTTGATTGTTCTATAATTTTAATCAACCTTTCTTCAGAATTACTTAAAAGGTTTGACATTGTTATGTAAAAGAGACAAATTTGTCCAGTGATGGAGTTTGGTTTAGAGTAGATATTCATTATTTCCATTGCAATGCCTAAAATTTTTTATTAACCAGATATATCAGCATTTTTTGCTTTTGAGCATTAGGAAAATATTTAGAATCCTGAACTTTTCTGTGTCCTTCCCTGGTAGTAGGAACTGGGGTCCTACTGATGGCCAGTGAAAATGAGGAAGTAAGGCCACTTTAGCAGTGGTCCCAAAAGTACATAGGGATAAAGATCATATCCCCTTACAGTAAACTGTCTCTGTGTGTGTAATTGAAATTTTTTTTAAAAAAAATATTACTCAGAATGAACAGACTCATTAGACAGGGGTTGGGATTTCTTTGATCCTACAGAGATTTGTTTTTATTGTGGCAGCATTTAACCTGTTGAATGGTTAGGGAGAGGGAGGAAAAGGTTAGGAGAGGTTAGGTTTAGGGAGAAAAAGCTGAGTGATGAAAATAGGTTAATGACTTAGGAGATTCCAGGTTGTTCCAGAAAGATACAAAGAAACAGAACTTTAAAAATTGGCAGGCTTGGGCGGCGCCTGTGGCTCAAAGAGGTAGGGCGCTGGCCCCATATGTCAGAGGTGGCAGGTTCAAACTCAGCCCTGGCCAAAACCTGCAAAATAAATAAATAAATAAATAAGCAATCATTAAAACAAACAAACAAAAATAGGCTCAACGCCCATAGCACAGTGTTTATGGCGCTAGCCACATGCACCAAGGCTGGCAGGTTCGAACCTGGCCTCAGCCAGCTAAACAAAAATGATAACTACAGCAAAAAAATAGCAGGGCGTTGTGGTGGATGCCTGTAGTCCCAACTACTTGGGAGGCTGAGGCAAGAGAATTGTTTAAGCCTGCAAGTTTAAGGTTGCTGTGAGCTGTGAAGCTATAGTACTCTACTGAGGGTGACATAGTGAGACATTGTCTCAAAAATGAATAAATAAATACGCAGACAATTTGGCCAGGCACAGTGGCTCACTCCTGTAATCCTAGCACTCTGGAGACCAAGGCGGGCAGATAGCCTGAGCAAAGCAAGACCCCCATCTCTACTAAAATAGAAAAAACAGAGGCAAGAGAATGTGGTGAGCTGTGACACCACAGCACTCTATGAAGGGCAGCAAAGTGAGACTTGTCTTAAAAAAAAAAAAAATTAGATAATTTGAAAATTCCCAACCAGCTAAGCCACTTGAATGCTTCAAAGAATGGGGATGTGCCAGTTCTCCATTACTGGCAACGACCAAACTTTAGTTATTTTAGATTAGCTGTTATACAATGTCGCAATATGGCCCTAGAATTGAAGTATGGTTTCTTTACTTAAATATTTGCTAATTTCTCTACTATGCAAAGATCATAAATCAAAGTTTGATAAGCTATAGGAGGCCAAAAACCATGAGAGCCCCATTCAGGCCAATTACCCAAAAAAGAAGGATGCTGCTTCAAGTTATAAACTTCAATGGCTATTTAAATGAGGTTTTTTTTTTTTTTTTTTTTTTGAGACAGAGCCTCAAGCTGTCCCCCTGGGTAGAGTGCCGTGGCATTATAGCTCACAGCAACCTCCAACTCCTGGGCTCAAGCGAGTCTCCTGCCTCCGCCTCCCAAGTAGCTGGGACCACAGGCGCCCGCCACAGCGCCCCGGCTATTTTTTGGTTGCAGCCGTCGTTGTTTGGCAGGTCCGGGCTGGGGATTCGAACCCGCCACCTTAGGTGTACGTGGCTGGCGCCTTAGCCGGTTGAGCTATAGGCGCCGAGCCTAAATGAGGTTCTTTAATGCCCAGGGTATACTTGACCTATTTTATGAATAGTGAAGGAGTAAATTTCTGCTTTACTAGCTAAGTAACCTACCAGGTTCTCAGTATGAAGGGAAAATGTCCCTTTGAGAACTCTGTCCTGGTGATTCCAGGAATCTCTCAAGAGTACATCGTAATTCAAACAATAAAGATACATCAGTTACTTGATTCAAACTTACATGTTTTTTCTTTTCTTCCCGAAGGAGGGGCAACCCCCTTCATTTATCACGTGAGCGGTATCGGAAGCTCCATTTGGTCTGGCAGCAACACTGTATTATAGAAGAAATTGCTAGGAGCCAGGAAACTAATCAAATGTTATTTGGATTCAACTGGCAGTTACTATGAGCTCCAGCTCTGCCTCAAGACAATCAGGAATGACAACAGTAATAAAGACTGACTCAAAATTATGGAGAACTTTCTGAGGGATGGGGAAAGTCAGAGGGTCTTTTGCTTCATGTCCAGATTCACATACATCAATAAAATATTCCTTAATGGAGTATTGATTTCAATTAGCAAACACATGCTTCAAGGGACATAGATTAATCTGTTTTGTGTTCTAGTACACTGAAGAAATGCTTGTTTACCCCAAATGTTGAGTCTGCTAGTATTTCCAGGAATCTTGTTCCCCTTCATAATTTGTCCCATTTCATTTCATCCACTTGGCAATTGAAATCACATCAAATAGTTGTGGACATTTTTATATGTTGATTAACTCTTCTGCAATTTTGTATTTGGTGTTTTCCCACAGTTTAATTCAGCTAATATTGTACCACCAAGATTCTGATAATCTGCGATAGTCCTCCTTGCAGCTAAAGAGTAATTATAGAAACCATGCAATATCTGCAATTGAGAAAGATTTCCAAAAAAGTGAATTTTTGTATTATTCTCTTTTAAGGAAATACTCTAAATGTACCACCTGTTGCTAAAGCCACAAATTAAACTAAATGTCTTTATGGCCAGAGTGCAATTCTGCCTGTGTGGAAAAACTTTTCTCCCTACTGTGGACCTCAAAAAGAGTTAGAATAATGTATTTATTATTCATTTCTGATGGTGGGCCTGTAATTCTAACCTCTTACTACAAATAGCTTTTTGAGTTTTGAAAATATAATTTACATTTTCAAAAGGCAGGTTTTTATAATGAGATCACTTATCTTGTGATTATGGCACCATCCTGTTTGATTCTCAGAAATCTGTTGCAGCTCTGATGTAAACTGTTTGTACAAAGAGAAAAGAAAATTCCCAATGAATGGAGCATGACAACTGTAAATTAGAACAGTGAGATTTAAGGCAATTCTGCAAACTTCTCCCTTTATAAAAGACAAATCCTTGATGTTATCTGTGTGCAAACTTTTCGTAAACTCTGGTTTTATGACTAGTCCAAACCACCAAAAAAGCTATGTGATCAATAGTCAGTGTCCTGTTGTAACATACTGTGGTTGAGCCATATTGTTTATAGAGCTCCCCCAAATCTGTGCATAGACTTTTTGGTTCTTGGCTTTAATATTTTATATGAAGAACTAGTGATATAAAGCAGCACACAGAGGATAAGTTGAAACCTTCATTTTAGCTTCTGTTGTCTCTGGAGTAATGTTAAGAGTTTGAAAGAGTCATTCAAAGACCGTATCTTACTTTGCCTTTTACTACTACTGTCTATATAAGGTGTATAAATGTTTTCCTGCCTTCTTTTTGCTCAGCAAAGGCAAACAAGTAAAAATATATTTGGTAAGTGATTAATAATGCACATTTGGGGCTAAATTTTGTTACACTTTAAAGCAGTGGTTCTCAACCTTCCTAATGTCGCAGCCCTTTAATAACAGTTCCTGTGGGTCGCAGCCCACAGGTTGAGAACCACTGCTTTAAAGAAAAGTGGATTTTTGTGGTAAGGAATTGGCATAAGCAGGCACCAGAATTACAATCATGATTTTCTCCTTAAATAATTACTATGCAGAAGGTATCAGGAAATAAGGACTACTCTAATGAATAGTTTGTAACAGTTAACAAGTGAGAATCAGAAAATTCAGTATTCAGTTTATCACATTTGCCAGTATGATTGAGTGATTTGAACATTTCCCTTATATAATTGTGTTGGATGCGTTGTTTGGCTGGGAAGTCTAGGCTATTACAGAAAACAGAAGATGCTGACTTGTGCCCTAATTGATTGGTCCCAGTGTAGCAAAGATAAACTGACTTTATTTCTAGTCTTTTTACATTCACTTCATAAATCTTGGGGTCAAATTCTCAAGCTGCCAGAGGGACTATCTGGCAATGGCCAGCCAGACCTTTATTGCCAAAGAACACATTTCCTATTTTTTGCTTATTAAGATTCAGATTTCTGTACTGCAGATGAACATAACGTCTCAGTGCTACCCCTAGCCCAAGGGATTTCTAATTATATTCACGTGTCCTTGTGGTTTGCCTTCATCATTGCAAACAATTACGCTAACAAAGTTTACTTTCAAACAAGCAACTGAGTCACTTTATTTTCTTTAGTGTAATACACGAAGGCACTGGTTCAAGAGGATGGCTCTAAAATTTTTTCTGTTTGGTCAGGGGCTGGTAAGAGTTTTAATAACAGTGAAAGAAAATATATATCTGTATAATTAATTTATTATGTTGGTATATGGGGTGTGAGTTCACCTGTTAGTGGTCATTTGTCATTTCATAACAACTATGCATTTTGGTTCACTGTGATGATGATCTATATTTAGTGACTGCAACATGTTAATACCACTGATTGAAATTCCATCCATGATGAAGTTATACAAATGATGCATATATTGATATCTTTTATTGCAAAAATGTAAATTTAAAACTTGTATAATGTTCTTGTGCTTTTTGAAATAAAATATATGTGTATATTTAAAAAAGAAAAAGTCTGCTTATGTTTGGGAATTTGGGTTTGAAATATAAAAATCTGTACCTTGGCTTGTGGTTAGGATGCCAGGCACATGCACCGGGGCTGGTGGGTTTGAACCCAGCCAGGGCCTACTAAATAGACAATGATAACAAAAAAAATAATAATATGGACATTGTGGTGGGCGCCTGTAGTCCCAGTTACTGGGAGGCTGAGGCAAGAGAATCTCTTAAGTCCGCGAGTTGGAGATTGCCACAGCACTCTACCAAGGGTGACGTAGTGAGACTCTGTCTCAAAAAAAAAAAGAAAAAAAAATTCTACCTGGAAAAGAGCTGTAGTTAAAAGTTGTCTTAGCCCAGGCAAATGTTTTAAAAGACAGGTGTTTGGTGTACATGGGTCCCCTCAAGCTTTTGAGCCATATACCCCATGAGTAAAATTTTAAGCATGCATACCAAATAAACGTACATACATATATTTCATATTATATTCATGAGTGCTGTACTGTAAGTAAATCATAAAATGCAACTTTAAAAGGGAGATTTAAAAATCAGTTAAAATTAGAAATAGTTATTTAAATATCTGCCAGTGCAGCTGTATAAAGCAGCACTGTCCAGAAGAGTGCAGCAATGATGAAAATGTTCAGATTCTTTACACCTACCAAAAAGTTGTTTTCCACAGAATGCTCATGTTCCCAGAGTTGTGACTTTAATTTCCACAGTGCAGTGCTGCGCTCTGATACTCGCCCTGACATCCACACACGCATGCTTACAGTCTCACATACACTTCACATGTACATACCACCATCATGATGGAAGAATAAGTTGTATGTCCATATTTTTTATTGATTTTTGTTAACTTTGTTAAAAAATCTCCAAACATGCATAAGAAAGGATAGCCCCCACCTAGCATTGCTGACCTACCCACTTTTAGCCAGACTTGTTTAATCTACACTGTCACTGCTCCTTTCCCCAGCTCCACATACTGTAACTGGATTATTTTGATGCAAATTTCGGGCATCACATCATTTTGTCCCTAAATACTCCAAATATCCTTTAATATGTTATCAAAATTCAAATATATCTCATTGTCTCAAAAAAAAATGTTCAGTGTTTGCACTACAATATGGTGCTCACTATTCTCATGTGGCTGTTGAACACTTGAAAGGTGGCTAGTGCAACTGAGGACGTAAATTTTTAATTTTAATTAGTCGTATGTGGCTGGAGGGTATCATACTGGACAGCATATGTCTCACTTAATGGTTCTCAAACTTGAGTGTGCATTAAAGTCACCAGGAAAATGTTAACAAAATACAAATTCCCAGGTCTCACCCTAGATGCTGAATCATTCTTCTGAGAATGAGCCTTAAAATAATCAGTGTGATTTCCTTGCACTTCTAAGCCATAACTCTTCACTTAAAATGTAGAGCTTGCTTTCTTTTTAATTCAGTGTTCTTCAGACTAAGAGCCAAAATGCTTCTCAGAGAAAAGTAGGTCCCAGAGGGGAAAGACTGCCAAATAGTTGGATAATTGTGCGTTTTCATTTTGATTTTCTATGTATTTGAGGAAAGGGGTACCTAGAGTTAAAATTTAAAAAGCCATTGCTTTAGTTTTAAGCCTTAAAACTATTCTAAGAGGGTAATGCTGAAGGCAATGAAGGAATATTTTGGAGTGATGGGGATTTATAGTAGTATTACTACTCTAAGACATTTATAATTGACTGGCAAGAGAAGGACCAAGGGATCTTCTCCATGCTTCAATACAGACTAATGGTGCATTATTAGGTAAACAGATCATAGGATCTGGAAAATTATTTACAGTTTGCATTAAAGTTTAAAGCTTCTATACAGGACAGGGCATGGTAGCTCATACCTGTAGTCTCAGCACTCTGGGAGGCTGAGGCAGGTAGATTGCCTGAACTCAGGAGTTCCAGACTTAGCAAGCCTTAGGAGACCCCATGTCTAAAAACAGTCATGGCAGACACCAGTAGTCCAGCTATGGGAGGCTGATGCAAGAGAATCACTTGAGCCCAAGAGTTTGAGGTTGCTGTGAGCTATGATGCCATGACAC